ATCTAAACCTGTTTGGATGAAATTCAAACCTAAGGAAAAATGTGTTGCCATGGGGGAAATGACAAAAGATTCATTAAAGCGACTGAATGTAACCGAATTTGGGACCCTAAAAGCTTTGCCATGCCTCCCTTAGTGACTTCCTGCTCTGTTTCACAGTAACAATCTGGAATTGTTATTCCACCATGTAGTGTCAAGAGCTCCCAAATCCCAAATGCACTAAGAACTTAAAGGTTAAGTCTGGCTACTAGAAGGCCAAAGTGTCACATGCTTCCTAAGTCAGCAGTTCTCAACCTGTGGGTCACAACCCCATTGGAGATCAAATATCAGGTACCCTACGTCGTATCAGATATTTACCTTATGATTCTTAACAGTAGCAAAATTACAGTGATGAAGTAGCAATGAAGATAATTTTATGGTTGGGGGGATGTGTCCCCACAATGTGAGGAACTGTATGAAAGGGTCACAGCATTAGGAAGGCTGAGAAGCCTCATCCTAAGTGAACAGTGATAGAACATGGATGGCAGAAATAAAACAAGGTGTGTCTGGAGAATTCCATGAAGGGCATTAGGCTTGGCAGTGCCCAGTGTTATGTTCATGTGATCTTAGGTTGTACATACTTTGATCTTGAATGTCCTTGTGTGTTTGCGTCTCTCTCAGCAGCACTAAAGGCAAATGTTCATCTATGTATCAATCTGGACCAACCAATGTTATTTTATTGAACGTGTACATGGGTGCAGAAATGTTTGTTTAGCAAATGAACTACCTGCTGTGAGGAAAAGTCTTCTTCTTTGAGACCGTCGTTTGCCTGTGTTCGTTTCTGTGGAGATGTGTGTTAGTGTGCTCAGTTTCCTTTGGCTTCAGTACAGATTTAGATTAAACCATACTTAGAGAAATGTTAAAGCATAGCACAGTGTGGAGAGAAGTCCAGTTTACTGAGTCCCATCCCCTTGGAGGGCTCTTGCTTTTGCCATTTTATTTTTATTTATAATGATCTAAAGAGAATCCCCTACTGACTTGTTTCCTAATGACTGTTGTTTTACACAAAAGAAGGGAAATATGTTTGTTGTCCGCGGGCTTGCGTGAAGCCCTTTCTTCGCGTGGTTCCCAGGCTAATGCTGTATTGTAGGAACACTTGGTTAAATGCTGCTTGGCCGTTTCAGAAGCAACTACCCACGGCTTTGAAACAGGCTGCTTTAAGAAAATGAAAACGTCTTGTTTTTAATAAAATGCTTCATGGTTAACTAACACTCTGGAATAATCTTTGTGTTGAGGGCCGGAAGAAGGACATGTGCATTCTAATACCTGCAATTTAGCTCGTTAACTTTGGGACCTCACTTTTAAAATAAAAGATTTTTTTTTCAATTATTGAAGGTTTTCTGGAGGTAGGAGAATTCTGCAGCCAAAAGCTGGTCCCTGCTTCTGCTGTGCATCGCTTAAATTTGCATGGGCAGTTGCATGGGGGGGGGTTGTCATATCTACACGGGACTGACAGCCACAGTGATGTGATAAAAGTATGCAATGGCTTCTGTGCTTAAACCTTGAAATTCTTACACCATCGTGCCTGTTCTATGAGAACGAACTGCAACAAACAATCCAAAGCCCATTCAAAGGACTGGGGAGGAGGCACCCGGGGAGAGAGGGAAGAGGTGCAGTGTGGCCCTCTACTGGACTGTGTAAGCAATCACCAGCGCCGCCCGCTGCAACCCGTGGCCCCTTGGTTTATCGCAGCGTGCGGTTCTGCAGAGTTGGAAATAAGAATCTCTAACCCACGGAAGGTCTGCGGGGATTAAGGAGGGAAGTTAGGCAAAGCGGGCCTGGTGATGCAAGTACCGCATGAACTCTGGGGCTTGGAGTAGTAGCTCTTTGTTTGCAAGTCTGGTCGATTGTTTCACCAATCTGGAGCCACAGTTTTGCCTTCTCCGCGAACCCCTTCTGTAAACCACAACACTGCTACACAATCCAGATAGGTTAATTTGGTGACGCTGTAAATCTTAAAATACAAGCCACTTGATCAAAATCAGAGTCCATTCAAGAAAGAGATCTTGTTTCGACATTGAGGAAGGTTCTTCTGAAAGGTGAGCCCCTAATGAGATGAAACAGCTTTCCAGCTAAGCGTGATGAACCCTTGTTGACTCGGCATACAGATGTCCCCAAAGCTTCAAAAGACTGAACTCCGGCTCCTAAGAGTCCGCCGATGGCGTTACAAATTTGGCACTAAATTATTCATTGCTTCCCTGTTCAGGGTGGAGATGGGGTTGAGAATCCATGGGAATGAGCTCCCAAACTGGCCATCCTGAAGAAAATGGTCAGGAACCATCTGGGGAAAGAAAACAGTAACTTTGCAAAGGACTTCCTTTCCCAAGGAAAACTCTTCTTACACATGGTTGTGTGTGAAACATTCATGGATTAACAATGTACCAACCACAAAGGATCACATTCATTGGGCAAGAAAATGTACTTCCCAGCTAACTGTAAGAGAGAACGCTCAACACATTAGACATTTGATCGCTTTGTATTTTGACCGGAAGAACTGAAGTATGCTAAGAACCAAACATGCTTTTTGCTCTGATATTTTTGCCTAAATTGAACTCTTCATGGTAATTATGCCTTCCTTAGTCTGTCGATCATTAACTGCTTTCTTCATGTCTCTAGCACTTTATAAGCACCACGACATGTCCTGTTGCTGAGAAAAAGTAGTAATGCAGATTTGCTTTTGATGTATACTCCAGCTTTTCAAGACCCTATTGTAAACAAAAAAAAATGATCTTTAATACTTCATAATATTCTACCCAGGCTTTCCATCATTAATTAAAGGACCTCCTTTCATTTCCCCGATCAAAAAAATAAATAAATAAACAATGAAACTATTCCCTAACTGCCCATCAGAGACCAAATAAAAGTCAGCCTCTCACAGCAGTGGTTATGGTCATGCCAATTTCACAGTGGGACTGGTGTACTCATTGCATTTTGAAAATGACCCTGCCCTCCATCTGTCTAAGCCAAATGCCCTGCTCTTTTCAAGCCAGGCCACTTGAGCAGCTTCCCATGAAATAAGAAGGAGGACACAAAATGGCCACCCTCCCGTGCTCTTCAGCTGTCCACAGACAGGCACCAACACAGAGAGGAGAAACCCAGATGATCCCTGTAGGTAGCCAAGAAATTTGGGGGAAAGCCGACAGCCCTTTCATTTTTTTGTGTGGGCTCTAAAAAGTCATTTGAAGGTGGATGGTTTCATTATATAAGTACAGCTCTGCAAACAGAGAGAAACTGAGCTGATAAAGGGCATTTCTTGTTTTCATGTTTACTAAATTTAATACCAGCTTATTCAAAATGATAGTCTATGCATAAAGATTTTTAAATATTGAGTGTGAGTTTCTAAGGAACAAATGTCCGACAGGCCACCAGTTGTCAAGGAAAGGATGCATTGTGTTCCTTAAGATTTGAGCGCCAGGACACATGCCCCCACCACAGACTTCACCTAAGAGGGTACACCAGGAAACAGGGTAAAAGAAAGCTCACGTGGAGACACAGGAGTACTCCTTGGCTGCTTTCAGTGGAGATCTTTGGTGGGCCAAAGACCCACTCTCCTACATACAAAATGGGTACAATTTGTTCCTTCCTTATTGATTGCATTAAATTTTTCCTTGTCTAATGGCATCCAAGAAGTCACATGGCTGCTAATTCTCAGCAAGAGTGAAGGCTGAAAAAGTACATGACCTCAGTCCTTCTATGATATGAGCGATTGTACACCTAATCAAGTCTTCTCCTTGTGATACTGGGTGACTAGGAGATGGGCAACCCTCATTGGTCACTGTACATCTGAAGCTGCAGTTGAGACATGGAAGCCCAAAGTCTACTGCCCACACCAATTTAGTTGGTTGTTTCTATTTTTAAAAAGTAATCTTTCCTCATAAACACTTGGTGCCCACACTTGGCAGTCCTTTACAAATTATTGGAGACATGCATATTGAAGTATTTGCCACTCACTGTTTCCCATGGAACCTAGTTCTTGGTTATCATGGTTCAACCTCTATGGTGGTTTGAATGAGAACGTCCCTCATAGGCCAATGGATTTGAACACTTAGTCTCCCATTGGTGGAACTGTTTGGGAAGGTGTGGCATTGCTGGAAGAGATATGTCACTGGAGATGAGCTTTGAGATTTCAAAAGATTCCCAGCATCCCAGTGCCACACTCTCTCTGCCTCCATCTTGGAAATCAATATATAAGCTCAATAGGGGTGATGGAGAGGTCCTTCTGCCCAGAACTCTGGGTCAGGAACTCAAGTATGACTCTTTCAAAAGGTTTGCTATAGTCATTTCTAAGATAGACTTGGAAAGACCTCACTTGATGCTCTTATCTATCTGCTCCTTTACATGTTATTTCACTTGGAACAGCTACCCAAAGAGAGATTCTACTCTGCCTAGGACTCTCACTGGGAATTTCAGCTAACCTCCTCAATCTTCCCTAGCTGATTTCAACTAAATATTTGTAAGGCCCCAATTTGATTATATTGAATTATCTATGTGATGTTTCTAGCTGCAACTTGCTATTTATTACTTTACTTTAGCTTGTTATGTTCTCAATAAACTGATTTTCAAAACCAAAACCGCCATTATAGATTATCTTCTAGTTGGCACAGAATATGTGGTCACTGTACGGTTACGAAGTACACACTTAGGTCAGCACAAAAATGTAATTCTAGGATATGTCAAAGTATAGAAGGCAAAAGAAAAAAAGGAAAAATGTCATTGCCCCAAAACAGTGTACAAGCCTCAAAAACCCTCCAGGTACTCCAGGCCCTAAGGAGGCCACTGTCATTCCACAGAAAGGTCGCAACATCTAGTCCCCCGGCAACACGCCATTTTAACGAGTTGGGAGAAGTCTAAAACCCTTATTACAGGCCTAAATGATTTCGTATGATCTTTTTCTATTTGACTATACAAATAAAAACACATATAAAGAAGTCAGTTCATGTCAAAAGTACACACAGTTAAGTCTTCTTGAAATGAGACTACAATTCCCAGAATGCAAAGCAGCCAGGTCCCATGGGGAATGACAATGATGCATGCTGGGAGAAAACAGGAATTTCTGTGTCTGGATTGCTTGACGTAGTTTTCTATCCTCTCTCTAACTTCTGTCTCTACCCAGTTTAAACTCTTATAACATATAACAAAGATTCAGAGACTGTGTTTATGATTCCTCTTCATACCTAACGGATTCTCTCTACCTCACAAAAACACCCCCTCCATAAACTTCCGTTTCCGGCTACCTAGTTGCCTTGGAAACTAGCACGCGCTCCAGTTTTGGCGGCTATGGCTTGGCAAAGCAGCTCCAAAGTACCCGACGGTGAGTTCACGACGGTGGTGTACCGGCTCATCCGCGACTCCCGCTACTCAGAGGCGGTGCAGCTGCTGGGCGCCGAGCTGCAGAAGAGTCCCCGCAGCCGCGCCGGGCTGTCGCTGCTGGCCTACTGCTACTACCGCCTGCAGGAGTTCGAGCTCGCTGCAGAGTGCTATGAGCAACTGAGCCAGATGCACCCGGAGCTCGAGCAGTACCGCCTCTACCAGGCCCAGGCGCTGTACAAGGCCTGTATGTATCCAGAGGCCACGCGGGTCGCCTTCCTCCTGGACAACCCCACCTATCAGACGCGTGTCCTTCGTCTCCAGGCTGCTATCAAGTACAGCGAGGGCGACCTACCAGGAGCCAGGAGCCTGGTGGAGCAGCTGCTGAGTGGAGAAGCTGGAGAAGACAGTGAAGGGGAGAATGATCCAGATAGTCTGGTCAATATGGGTTGTCTGCTCTACAAGGAGGGACACTATGAAGCTGCCTGTTCCAAGTTCTTAGCGGCCCTGCAGGCTTCTGGCTACCAGCCTGACCTCTCCTACAACTTGGCTTTGGCGTATTACAGCAGTCGGCAGTATGCCCCAGCTCTGAAGCATATCGCTGATATAATTGAGCATGGCATCCGTCAGCACCCAGAGCTAGGTGTGGGCATGACCACTGAAGGCATTGATATTCGAAGTGTGGGCAACACTGTAGTCCTTCATCAGACTGCTCTGGTTGAAGCCTTCAACCTCAAGGCAGCCATAGAGTACCAACTGAGAAACTATGAGGTAGCCCAAGAAACCCTTACTGACATGCCACCCAGAGCAGAGGAAGAGTTGGACCCTGTGACCCTGCACAACCAGGCTCTGATGAACATGGATGCCAGGCC